CTTGATTACAATCCCCAACCCCACTCTAAAGCCTCCTTGCTTATCAGCAATCCTACTGTCTGTCTTACCTCTAATTCTTTCAATAATAACCCTACCATACACTTTTCCTGATATACTCAGTGAACTTATTCCCCTATTATTTATTTATCATTAGCTTGGCAATTTCAACTGTTTCAGCTGCTGCAGGGAACACTTCACAATCAAGAGCAAAATCTGTATCAACAAACATGCCAGTAGGTCATAATTCATACCATGCATCTTTTCAATATATCACTACAAACTGGCATAGTTACAGACAAGTCGAAAATGGCAAATGTAATACCTATCTACAAGGCAGGTGACAGGTCCTTAGCTTCGAACTATAGACCAATAAGCCTTACATCTATAGTGGAAAAATTTATTGAACCAATAATTGCCTAGACAATTTGTAGCCATCTTGAAAGACAAATTGACTAATGGATCTCAGCACGGTTTTACAAAAGGGTGTTCCTGTCTTACGAATTTACTAACTTTTTTCATTAAGGTATTTGAGTAGGCAGATCATGGTACTGAATAGGAGATTGTGTATATGGACTTCAGTAAGGCTTTCGACAGAGTTCCACATCAAAGGCTATTGAGGAAACTTAAGGTACATGAAATAGAAGGAGAAATTTTTTCCTGGGTAGAGGCATGGTTGACAAATAGGCAGCAGAGAGTTTGCATAAATGGGGAGAAATCAGAATGGTGGCACACCACAAGCGGTGTTCCACAGGGGTCAGTGTTTGGCCCTTTGTTCACAATTTACATAAACGACATAAATGAGAGAATAAATAGTTACATGAACAAATTTGCTGACGATACCAAAATCTAGCCTAAACAAGACTTGCAACAATGGCTTTAAGTTGGAAAAATTCAGATTCAGGAAGGATATAGGAAAGCACTGGTTTGGTAATAGAGTTATGGACGAGTGGAACAAATTCCCAAGTACTGTCATAGAAGATGAGACGTTGTGTAGTTTTAAAAATAGGTTAGATAAAGACATGAGTGGGTGTGAGTTGGACCTGACTAACTTTTGCTACTAGGTCAGATGCCATGCTCCTTCCTTAAGTGAATGTGACCTGACCTGACTAGGTTCAGGCACTGGCTTAAACCAGTGGGAGAATTGGACCTGTCTCGCATGGGGCCAGTAGGCCTACTGCAGTGTTCCTTCTTTCTTTATGAGTAGGAATATTAACAGCTTCCAAGGAATTACAGCATGTTAAGTAGTTACCCAGTTCTAGCAAATTTTCAATGCTCTCAATACATTTCAATGCCCTCCCTTCAAATCTAAGGAAAATTACCAATGGGAGCTGAAGTTCCTAATTATCGGCACTCTAGTGTTTAAGTATGCAGATAGAACTAACAGCCTGAATGAGCAGAAAATTTTCATATTTCAAAGTTCAAATTGCAGATATCAAAGAATTTAAAAATATCTTATTAATCTAGGAGAAGTCCAAATAATAGATCCTGGCCAGTATTAGAATATGCATGTTCTGTATACCTCACTCAAATCCACTTACATGCAGAGTGATAACTTATTTTACCTAAATACTTTGTGGTTTAGTTTCCTTTAACAAATTAATACAATAATGAAATTACACATTAGCTAATATCATAATGTAATACACTCCATATCTAGTTTGCTAAATTTACAACGCAGTAACATTATTCTCATTCATGGTAAGAGGACACTGCAGTATTTACTGGTAAACCTTTACTGTAAAGATAATGTTCCACCAACACGAGCTTGGTAAAGTAAATGATAAAGTGGATTAAATGTCTTAAATATGGGTTTACTCTGAAAATTACTATTCTGCTCTATTTATTAACAATCCTTACATTCCAATACAAGTTCATTCATGACTTGTTTTTGAGCAAAATAAATAAATTAAAGTACTTTACAAATATATACTGCATGTTTATCCTACAATAACCCATAAGGTAAAGAAGTATGCTTTTTAATTGATAACCGTTTTTACATGGACTAATTAATTTCAGGATTTAATTTATTAAATAAAATATAGCCAGTTTTTGGTTAGATTTCCAGTTTTAAAAGACAAAAACCAACCCATGAGAATATAACTAATCCAAAAGAAAACTATTATTAGCGCATATTACTGCTTATATCTACTCAAATATATCTGAATTACCAAAGAGATAACCTTAAAGCACTATGACGAAGCTCTGGAATGTTTGTGTGTACATAATATATTGTAATGACTAACCATTCACATTCAAATGCAGTTCTATATATGGAAATACTGTAATATGCCTACGAAAGTGTTACCGTGACGATGCAAGACAAAAAAAATTAAAGTATATGGGTACCAAATTCTATAACAAGATCTGAGAAGTTAAAATTATTGTACATGTAACAATCTAAAACAATGAACTTCAAAAACTGGCCACAGTACATATATCTAAATTCCCAGGTTATGATTCTTAGTTTGCAATGGCAGAAGCCTGTCTGATAAAGTTTTCACTAAGAAAGCTGAAATCAGGAACTCTCAAAACTATATATAGTTTCATTAATTTTAATTGTTTAAACAAGACTGACTTACCATTGACTTTTTCTTGTTTTTGTAGTATGGATTCCAGCCAATACTCATCACCATCTTGTATGCTGGTCCATCATCAACTTTTGCCCAACCGTAATATATCCCTGTTGTGATCTCTTCAGGAAGCTTCTCGACAACATGATCAGGAAAGTTTGCTGAAATGTTAATGTTATTATAATTAAAAATAAAATAATAGTAATAATAAAATCAAATTTCTACAGGGAAAAGGGGAATACACCTAGCTTGAAAACAATGATAAAACAGGGGAAAACCCCCCCCCTTAAACGTTTTTAAAACCATTCCTGAGAGCTAAACGTAACCAAATTATCGTTAGCCGAATTAATTTTTCCCTTTATAAGAAATAATGGAAATCAAATTAATCCTTCCAGAAAAACCCCAAAGTATAAAAAAAAAAAAAATTTTTACCACAAAAAATAAAAATTTTTAAAATACACAAACGGGAAGAAGACATGCAAAATTTACTACTCAACTAAGAATAAAATACATGACACTTACCTTTATTGAAGATCTGGTGATGATTGATGGGATGGGAGGAGGGGAGTGTGTGGAAGTTATTATTTAGATGGGGAATCCCCTTCCATTAGGACTTGAGGTAGCAAGTCCTTTTCCGGGGTTACTTCCCTTCTTTTAATGCCACTAGACCAGCTTGAGAGTCACTGGACCTCTGTCGCACAACAAATCTGTCCATAGAGCTCTGCACCTCCCGTTCCTTTAAGACTTTCCTAAAACGGGCCATAACATTGTCATTGTACAGGTTGCCAACACAGCTTGCAGTAGCTGTGTCAGGGTGATTTTTATTCTTAAAGGTTTGCAGTTCAACCCACTTTGCACACATTTCCTTAATCTCTTTTTTCAATTCCATACTAATTCTCACCCTTTTTACCACAGGGATGGTACTAGAAGCTTTCTTGGGGTCCCTGGTGACCTATTTTGCAGTACAAGCACTAAAAACACTGGGATAATGTGAAATGTACCGAATGTATGCGTAGATGCGACCGCACTGGCTGGCTTGTAAACACTGGCGCTGAGGCCACACGTGGGACGTGTCCCAGACAAATCACATAAGGCAAGTTTTTTATCGTGAGGTGAAGCAAAATTTTTGCGTTCAAATGCTTCATATGGCGGATGTAACTTAACGTGATGCGTTCGTCAGGCAGGGGTCCACTGTACTACTATATAGAAAGCCCCTCGTTATGCAGACCATTTTGGGGAAATTAGGTCAATCTGTCCCAGGATGTGACCCACACCAGTCGACTAACACCCAGGTACCTATTTTACTGATGGGCGAACATTGCACTGCCTTCAATAAATTTGATTTTTGATGGTAAAAAGTATTATGTTATCAGTTTTATCATATATAGTACAGCCCATAGTCATGCAATGTATTTTGGATGGGAAAAGGGAGTTCCTGCCGTGCATTTTTACTTAAATCGGGAAAATCTTCTTTCAAAGTGTTGCCAAAACCCGGAAAAAAAAAAACACATTCATTCATTAATGTTTTGCTATTTTGAATTTTATCTTAAAAAAACAACTATTGACTAGAATTCCACAGATGCCTCCAGATGGCCAGAGATTAGGTTTATTTCCAATGGAGTCTTTTGGTCCCTGTCCCCAGAATGAGACCCATAACAGTCAGTCTACACCCAAGTACATATTTACTGCTAAGTACACAAATGCACTATGTTGGCTGGTAGGAGGAAAAGTGAAGGCATGATAACACATAAGGTCATAAAACATGAAGAGTAGATACAGAGGATTTCTTAGTACCTACAGAAGGGATAACAAGACAAAAATTCTAATTCTAAAGCTTATTTCCAGTGGGATCCTTCATTCTTCTTCCCCAGGATGTGACCCACAAGTCAGCCAACATCTAGGTACCTACTTACTGCTTGGTGAGCAAAGGCAGCAGATGTAAGGAAACATGCCCAATGTTTTCACTCATCAGGGGATTGAACCCTGATCACTCAGTGTGAACTGAGACTGTTACTAATTCTTCACAAACTGAATAACTTAAAAGAGGTAGTAAGTGCTGCAACCATTGGAATTCTTAAAAAATTATATGAAAATAATTAAGATAGGACACCATGAGCATAGCACTGCTCTTGTACCTACAAATAGGTAAGAGAGAATACCTGTATTTTCACAGGTTCTTTTCTATACAAGTGTTTGTATTCAAGCCATGGATTGAATACAAACACAGATTGAGTAGTGTGAATTGTACATATAAGCAAGTACTGATGACACCAGTACTTGCCTATATGTCAGCAGAAGGATCAAGTCACAGTTCTTGATGCTGGTGTCATTTTTAACATGCTGGCTAGTTCTCATTAAATGTTGATTATAGGGTCACCATTGAATTTCACACACAAAAAAAAAATAATGGAAAGTAATATTGATTAATTTAGGCAATGCTTATAATTATATTTTGTGGAGACTGAAAAACAATGATTCTGGGTGTTTTGTCTCGAAAGGAAATAATTATAAGATCCTTACTGTATTACACTATTATAACCAATTAAATCCAATCATATCAAACCCAACCCAACCCAATGTGTACACCCTAATGGAAATAAGTAAAGGACCCCAATGGAAACAAGTCACTGACTTTTTGGGTTATCCTAGGTACTTTACAGATATGCTGCTATGCATGATAATTCTATGTAACTGCATTTCTGTATACGTAAATTAACGTACTTATTTACTGCAGATATTCTTCAGGTGATTGTATTATTGAAATATTTGCATTACTGGCCTGGTGAATAATTTATCCATTGCATTCTATCTACCACAAAAATACTGTAGTTACAAATATATATTCCCACCCCCAAAAAAATCTGCATAAGAAATAACTATTCTTGCTTAAGTTATAGAAATAAAAATAAAGAATTTTGTTGTAGCCCCTAAAACCATTTCTCTCCTCAATTATCAGTTTCACAGTTTTATTCAGATACATTGTATTACATATTCACAGACTAACTCTTGTCACGGATGTTCATAGTAAAACCTAAACGGGAACATTCAGGAATTTTATCCTATACAAACTGTCTAACCAATACATGACAACCTGTGTTGATTAACAAATGGTCTAGAGCAAAAAACAAATACAAAAACATGCAATAACATCCAAGAAATTCTATAACAGCTGGAATCAATCTACTTTGTTAAGCACAACTTTCCCTGAATTTCAAGGCCAAAGTTTATATACCCGGTAAATGATGCAATAACCACCACTGCCCAGCCTGACACTGCATAAATAATACACATTTACTACCAAATAGGATACAAAACATGGGGGATGGGCTTAAACATAGCAAGCAGATTTTTAAAGGTAATTAAAGAATTTTATTTACGATTTTATATGAAGAATTTATTGATGTTTGTCCATAAAGAACCATTCCCATTTTTTATTGAAGTTAAGGGCCATTATTATTCCTCGACATTTATATTGTAATTAAGCTAAATAAAGAAGTCAAGAATTGCTTCACAGGGAAGTAGAGAAAAAAAATTGTAACTTTCCACACGAGCTGAGCCAGTCTTGCTGAATAGCTAAAATAAAATGTTAGCCATCAAAAAAAAAAAAAAAAACACCACATGCTTTATGTAACTACTGATAACTCACCTGTAGGAATTCCAAGCTCTTTGGAACCCCGTCCGAAGCCTTTGATGACAGTGCCAGCGGCAAAGTGCGGTAACCCTTTCCTGACAGCAGCCATCACGGTACTGAGAGACACCACAGTGTCGTCTGCTTATATACACAGGTCTTTCCTCAAGCATTTCATTATTTTCCTGAAGTTATAAATTTCCTAGAATTTACATTCTCATCAGACCTTTCTATTTCAGGTTTGCAAATATATAGTTAAAATCTGTGTCTAGATCATGTATTCATAACAGGAATATATCAAAGTATACATCGATATTGCATGCGATTATTATACAGACTTCATGACTTAAGAAATCGTGATGACACGATTGCAAATAAACCATACCCCCGGCCGGGATTGAACCCGCGGTCAGAGAGTCTCAAAACTCCAGCCCGTCGCGTTAGCCACTAGACCAGCTAGCCACAATAAGATTCATCCAACTAGGTATATTTCTACACCATAGGAAAGTTAGCACAGGCACCTCTGTGACCACAAATGCAAGTTTTTACAGACGAATCTCCAGCTAGCGTGGCCGTGACGAACTCTAGCTCAAGTCCCTTCACTGCTAGAGTTCGTCACGGCCACGCTAGCTGGAGATTCGTCTGTAAAAACTTGCATTTGTGGTCACAGAGGTGCCTGTGCTAACCTTCCTATGGTGTAGAAATATACCTAGTTGGATGAATCTCATTGTGGCTAGCTGGTCTAGTGGCTAATGCGACGGGCTGGAGTTTTGAGACTCTATGACCGCGGGTTCAATCCCGGCCGGGGGTATGGTTTATACAGACTTCTAGGTGTATATCTCTGTATATAATTATAAGGAGCGCGACAATGCATCGCGCACTTTTTACAAGACTATTTATGATTCATTACTTTTGTAACTTGGTCATGATTGTGACCAGATCTACCTGGAGTTCATTACCTTTGTAACTAGATCAGTTATTATAACTTTGGGTCCCAGTTCCTGGACCCATTATGTACCTCTGTAATCTTTTGACTACCGCCCACACCATGGGTATGAGGTGCATAACATATTAAAACTATTTATGTAAATAAAGTCAATTCATTTGGATTGTAACAGCATCAGTACCTGTATATCCTGGCTACTTTGTCCATGAATTATAACATTTAATGATATAATTTTCAAATGAGTAAAAGAAAACTGTTCAAAATACTACATGTGGGGATACCTGGAGAGGGTTTCGGGGATCAACGCCCCCGCGGCCCGGTCTGTGACCAGGCCTCGTGGTGGATCAGAGCTTGATCATTGGCCGCACGCAAACCGACGTACGAAACACAGCCCGGCTGGTCAGGTACAGGCTAGGCGCCTGTCCAGTGTCTTCGTGAAAATAGCCAGGGGTCTATTTGTACTCCCAGTTGAACAGTCTTGGGCCCCTGACACTTGATACCTCAAGTGCCCAGTATTAATAGCCAAAAATCGTGTAACACACAATCTACACCTAGTATATTTTATTTAGGAAACGTTTTACCCACTAGGACCTTTTTCAATTCGATGCAGATCATGTGAAAGCACATGTAATATAGTGGACAGAGGCTAGGTGAGGTTAGACCAGTAAGTTACCTGATTACGGTGCTTTGTGGAGGATGTAACAGCGTAGCGAGTACTCAGTCATCATTAGAAACTCAGTTAAGAGAAGGTCAGACAAGAAGATCTAAAGCGGAGAAGAGAGCTTATGTGATCCGTGCGGGGATGCGATAATGTGTATGTAGGAGAGACAGCCAGGAGCTTAGACCAGCTTTAAAAAAAAAAAAAAATAAATAAGCATGTAGCAGAGACAACGTGAACAAAGTACAGGCGATGTACCGTAACTCGTAGGGGCATCTGGTGAAATGGAATGAGGCCAAATTAGTAATTAAAGAAAAGTATTAGTAGAAGTGGCGTTGTCTTGAAGCATCCTTGATGACAGTATCCGACAAGGTGTTCCAAAATTCTGAGCGATTCAATATGACAGAAGTGTTCGCTGAACCATCATGTGACGCTTGAACTAACATCCTTAACTCGATCTTACTAGAGCTGGCCCCACCTAACCTCTGCCAACACTGTCACTGCTGCCTGTGACCGTCTGCCAACACTGTCACTGCTGCCTGTGACCGTCTGCCAACACTGTCACTGCTGCCTGTGACCATCTACCAACACTGTCACTGCTGCCTGTGACCGTCTGCCAACACTGTCACTGCTGCCCGTGACCGTCTGCCAACACTGTCACTACTGCCTGTGACCATCTCCCAACACTGTCGCTGCTGCCCGTGACCGTCTGCTAACACTGTCACTGCTGCCTGTGACCGTCTACCAACACTGTCACTAATGCCTGTGACCGTCTGCCAACACTCTCACGGCTGGCTGTGACCGTCTACCAACACTGTCACTAATGCCTGTGACCGTCTGCCAACACTGTCACTGCTGGCTGTGACCGTCTGCCAACAATGTCACTGCTGCCTGTGACCGTCTGCCAACACTGTCACTGCTGCCCGTGACCATCTACCAACACTGTCACTGCTGCCTGTGACCGTCTACCAACACTGTCACTGCTGCCTGTGACCGTCTACCAACACTGTCACTGCTGCCTGTGACCGTCTACCAAGACTGTCACTGCTGCCCGTGACCGTCTGCCAACACTGTCACTGCTGCCCGTGACCGTCTGCCATACTGTCACTGCTGCCCGTGACCGTCTGCCAACACTGTCACTGCTGCCCATGACCGTCTGCCAACACTGTCACTGCTGCCCGTGACCATCTGCCAACACTGTCACTGCTGCCCGTGACCGTCTGCCAACACTGTCACTGCTGCCCGTGACCGTCTACCAACACTGTCACAGCTGCCCGTGACCGTCTGCCAACACTGTCACTGCTACCCGTGACCGTCTACCAACACTGTCACCGCTGCCTGTGACCGTCTACCAACACTGTCACTACTGCCTGTGACCAGGGCCGGATTAAGAAGTCTCCGGGCCCTAGGGCTATTCAGATTAGCGGGGCCCCTTTGAGTTACGGGTAAGCCAAGCGACCCCTTCCAGCTTTGGGGTGGGGGTGGGGGGGTCGGTGTGAGCCTGTTTGAGGTCTAATTAAATACATTCTGGCTATTTAGATTAAATTTAATAGGGAAAGTACATCAAGACAACCAAAACCATTTACCAATAGCCATTATAACTATCTTGTTAAATCATGCATTTTAAAGAGAATAAACTCAAGACAGCATAGTATTACTAGATTAGGCTATTAAAGTAGTGACATCGTGTACCTATTATATTCAGCATAACCACTACAGCACTATTATTCCCTTTATAAATCACTGACATTATTGTTATCATTTCATCATGCATAAGACTATCAAATCATATAAACTCAAGAAAGTAAAGAATTGTTTATATTCACAGGCACTTCTTAAATAAACTTTTTTCTGGATTTCATATTGGCAAAAATCATCAATTATATTCTGAAAATCAATATTTCTTGTTAGATCAGACTCAATGGTCAACAAGGCTAGGTTACACAATTTGTCTTGGCTCATTGTTGAACGGAGCTGGTTTTTCACTCTTTTCAAAACAGAAAATGAACGTTCTCCTTCACAGTTAGTAGCTGGAAGTGTTAGGTAAAGGCGATACACTATGTCAACATTAGGGAAGGTTTCTGAGATACCTGCATTTCTTAAATGTTTCAAAGCAGCTGAGGGCGCACATTTTTCAGGTGGAGCTTTAATCTGATTCATATACCCAGAGAAAATGAACTGTTTCTTCAACATGTCCTGAACATTTGCTGAAAGGTGTTCTTGCAACTTTAATGCAGCTTCTCTCAATTCTGCATCTGGCATAGTAGTAATTTTGAACAGAAATCCAAACTTGTCATTGAGATTCTGGTAGATTTCTTTTCTTTTCACTAATTCTGTAATCAGTGAATCCAGAATGACGAAGTATGTAGCTGTCTTACATTTCTGCCTTGGTAGCAACACAATTTCATTGTCTGGCTTTTCAAAATTGCGTTTCCTCTTCCTTGACCGCTGATGATCAGCCCGGTAACTGTAGTCTTTCACCAGCAGTTTAGCTTTCTCTTCAAACATTTCAAAAGCTTCATCATTGCAAAGTGAGCTTATAAATTCCACTAAGCCTGCATAGAGGTTAGCACAAGTAGCCATTTCAATTTCAATTTTCTGAAGTGTCTTGTTCGTGGCATTTAACCGTTCCAGTATACAGTCCCAAAGCACACAGAGTAAGGCCAATTCAAAATCTTCCAATTTTGATGCTAAGCTGGCTGCTTCGCTTCTTGTAGCTGCTGTCTGGTCTTCATCCTCTGCTATTTGGATCAAAGCAGAACGTATTTCAGCAAAGCTGTCTTTCAAAGCATGTGTTGCATCATGCTGCGCTGACCACCTTGTTGTTGATAATGATTTGATGACATCTCCATGAATGGTTGACTTGAGTATACTCCACCGATGCGTTGAAGGAGAGAAAAATTAAAGAGTGCTTGTAAAAGTCCAAAAAATGAAACTGCAGCGACACAACACTCCGCAAGATTAAGAGAATGTGCTGAGCAGGGCACATATTCAGCAAGTGGGTTGATTTGCTTGATACGGGCTTGCAATCCATTATATTTACCCGACATGTTACTTGCATTGTCGTAGCTCTGGCCACGGCAATCCATAATAGAGAGATCATGTTCAAGCAGAGTATCCAGTACTACATTCATCATTGTTTCTCCATCATGGCCTGAAAGAGGAATGAATTTTATAAAGCGCTCTACAGGCTTACCACTGGAGTCGACATAGCGAACAATGAATGTCAATTGATCTGTATGTGAAATATCTGGTGTTGAATCTACACTTATTGCAAAGTATTTTGCAGTTTTCATAGCTGCTATGATGTTATTGAGGACCTTCTTAGTCATCAGTTCAATAAATTCATTGCATATAGTAGATGACATGTAAGATACAGTGCCTCTTCCTGCATTCCCAAGGCGTGACACATGATTTGCTAAGAATGGATCGAATTGTGCTAACAGTTCTATGATCCCTAGGAAATTGTCATTGTTTTCCGAACCAAAACCCTCATTTTCTCCAAGGAAAGCAAGTCCTCTTAGAGCTAAGAATTTTACAACAGCAACAACTCTTTCTAGAACTTTTCTCCAA